GTTTAAAAAAAAAAAAAAAAAAAAAAAACATACCAAGCACCCTTTTAGTAAAGTGGGAAAGCATTGCAGAAATGCCACAACTCCAGAATGACACAATTCAGTGGCAGCGTTACTGCAGATTTCTTGGGAAATTGATTTTCTTTGCATATTGAAAATCACTGGACAAGAAGATAAATATTGAGTTGTTTATGGCACTGTTTCTTAAAGTGTGGTCCCAGACCTCTGGTGGTCCCCCAAGACCCTCTCAGGGGTCCTCGAAATCAAAATTATTTGCCAGATACTGAAGATATTTGCAAACATTTAAAACAATGACACTCTTCTCATTATTTTTTTACTTTGTTAAAAAATATAGGGTTCCTTCATTATCAATATTTTATTTACCTTCATATCTAATAGGTTTAATATTTTTATATTCACATGATTCAATAAATATTCCATGAATGCATCAATTTTAATTTTTAATATGGCAAATATTGATAAATATAACCCATACAAACAGAAGTTCTTTTGGGGTCGTCTATAACTTGTAAAAGTGGGAAGGGGTCCTGAAAGCAAAAAGTTTAAGAAACACTATTTATTTATGAACATTACTGGGTTCCCTTGTAAACTGTTTGTACACCAAATATGAGGGATCCCACAGACTTTCTTCTCAAAGAAAGGAATTGGGTTTCTCATGGATTTTTACACCGATGCTTATTCCTGAAACTTTCTGTCCAAGCAAGAAGCACAGCTCTTAAGGAACACCCTGCTTTAATTCTGTTTATGTTAACCAACAAATACTATGCAGCAGCTGTTATAGGTGCAAAGATGCTATATCATATTCCCTTTTAATATGCCTGGTTTGTTTTCATTGAACAATCTTTATTTCTTATGTCATTTATAATACTTCCATATAATTTTTGATACTAGAGCTGTGCATGCTTCAACATTTTTGGAAGAAGTGTTTTGGACAGTTCTACTATTCATTAAAGTAACCCCTGGGATGGGAGAGGAAGCTTTGGTGTGGGGGAAAAAAACAAAAAAAAAAACAAACAAAAAAACAGAAGGGGGGATGCTTTAAGATTCATATTAATTTTAATGAGTCAACTCAATAAAGCAGCCACAGCACAGGGAAAAAACCCTGGTCCAAATTACTCATTTGGAATCATTTTTGAAGCATAGAGAGCCCGACATGATATGATGGGTGAAGAAAACACTACGGGTAAAAGGCAAACAGATTTGAATGTGTAAGTGTGCATAAAGTGGTTATATCAACAAGACTCTCTTGGCTGTCAATCCTGAGAAATCTGCTGGATAACATTTGCCCAAGTCTTATGTCCCAAAATCTGAATTTATCTTAAATGAATTCAGTAGAAAGCCAGACATTTCCCTCAAATTCAATTTTCATAAAGGTGTCATCTGCTCTCAAGCTTCACAACACACAAATTAACACATTGTTTATTCATTTACCCTATCTCCCAAATAACTCTGCTCAAGTGTACAGTTCACAATATGAATAATAAAATCTCAACAAGCAAAACTTACAGTGACATGTCATGGGTTGTGTGAAATACATAGGTTTTTTTCTTTCTTTCTGATGTTCTATGATCACAAATATCATCAAAACTCTAAAACCAGGATGTATCTCTTTTACAATCCCTCCCTTTCAAATGGTATGCTTTCTTACTTCTTCTGACTTTGATGACATTTGATTTTGGAAGTGTGCTTCTTTCATCATGGGCTATTACTTCCCCCTGGAATGGGTGGGAGCATAAAAGTCTCTGTATAATGCTGGCTGGTTGTTGACAAAGATCTGCCAGAAATCCTCTGAAACCTGTTCCTTCTATGGAAGTAGCTGCGGGTGGTGCCGCCGCTGTGGGAGGAGGGGCGG